TTACAACTACCTATTCAATTGTAACGAAAAAAGTTCAAATGATAAAAAAAAAAACACGGAAAAATACCAAAAAAATCACGAAAAAAAATGCAAAAAAAAAAACGCGGAAAATAATGCAAAAAATTTGGATTACGGTCTGGTTGTGTTGGCAGGGCTGCAAACGGGTGTTCTACTCGCAGACGCGATCCCGCTACTGCTCACCGCGGAGACTTTTGGCTGCTGGGTTTCCCCCCTGGCCCGGTTCGCCTCGCCTTAGCTAACCTGGATCCGATGGGCTACCCCGCCGGATCCATATTGACGACAAGCTTAGCGCGGACGTCCGTTCAACGCGGAACGTCCCGCCACAGTTGCCCCCACCTCAAACCATCCACGCAATCCGACCTCCGAGAAGCCGGATTACAGGAGCGCGCCGCCGCTCCCGGTCGAATGTATGTAGGAAAATACTTCTATTTAAATGCCGTCAAGCAAAGCCAATCGTTATCAGTGTTGGTGTTTTGTACTGATACTGTTTATCTRGTAACGGCGAGCATTGATAGCGAGTAGATAATTTAAAAATTCCTATTTTCGAATTTCATTATTTCAATTTTCAATTTCAATCATATTTAATATTATTTCGAATTAGTATTGTGTATTAGAGTTTAGGCATTTTCAATAGTTTGGATAATCGTATTACCATTAATTAATATTATTGTTTTATAGTATTACGGATTTCGTGTTTTCAAATAATATTTTAATAAAATGTTCAATACTCTAAAGTTTTTGTCCCGACTCTCATCGACCGCCGTTCTGACTGGATTGCGGTCTTCAATTTTGAACAAGCCTTGGATTCGGAGTATCTCAATCTGCTATCAATGTCGACAGCCGATTCTAGTAAACAAATTTCAATGTGTCAACTCAGGCAGACGTTACAAACGTACAAAGAAAGAAGTAATGTCTGGCTAAAAAAATCAATCAACCCCTTGAAAAACCCTCMCAAAATATAATTTATCGATTTCTATATTCYTCTTATAGAACGATCGAGATTCTGATGATGAATTTGATTTAGAAATGGACGAATCCAGTCAATTGGTTAAATTCAGGACCAGTACAATGAGAATGGATACTATCTTAAAACACGCTCTAGGAAAGTCTAGAAAGTAATGTGACTGGAGCTATAAATATTACGACTGCTGTTTTATTAAAATATCAATATGTATTTGTTTTTAGTAAAATTGAAATAGCTTTTTATGAAAGTCGTATTCGCGTGAATGGAGAAAAAGTACAGAAGAAAAGCCACACAATTGAAGTCGGCGATGAGGTGGATTTTGTGAAAGGTCCTAGTCCAAATAATCCAGATTTCCTTTTAGTATCAAGAGTAGAAGTATTGTCTGCCAAATTAGATGGAGATGAATTAGATGTAAAATTAAAAAAGTATAAGAACCTTCTGATAAACAATTATGAAAATAAGTGGAAACCACAATCATAATTGTTTAGATTACATCAGATTATAATACTTTGACTATAAATGATAATCATTTTCAATTATACTTAGTGTTCTAAGATGTGTAAAGAAGTTTATTTTATTCTATATGCGTTTAATGCAGCTTGATTAATTTGATCTTGTGGGATAGGTCAAACAYTAGAGATAACTCTTCTCCAATTTTGATAGATCAGTCACTAGTAGACAATAATAAACTAAAAATAACAACTAATAAATACTTCTTCTTCTTCTCGAGTTTTTACGGTTCTMGAAGGACTTTCGCTGCCTCTACATTCCTCCATCTATCTCTGTCAATGCTGTCTGCTATTGTCACTCCCTGCATACATATATTGAGATCATTGTAGACCAGGGGCGCCATTTCGTTTTTTTTTTAAGGGTGTGCATGCAATTAAAGAGGCCAATTATTTCCCACCACCAGGCCAATTGTCAAAAAAACATTTGGCTTTCATACATAAAATATTACAAATTAATAAATTTAATATTAATAYTTTAGGTACTAGATATCTTACCATTTAACTATTACTATTTTGAAATTTTTTACGCATACATTTAATTAATAGTTAGGTACTTACCTATATTTGAAATTAGAATATCAATAAAAATAGAAAATACAAATCAATCATTAAAAGCAGTTTATGACCTAAACCATAATGTTAAAGATAGGAAAACTGAAGGCCAAGGCGGCAAGGCCGTGTATCAGTGATGCTTAGGCCAATAGCAAATAATAAATGCTCCCCCCCAAATGGCGTCCCTGTTGTAGACCCTGTCTGTCCAGCGCTGCCTAGGACGACCCCTAGGTCTTACTAATAAATACTAATAACTAATAATAAATAATAAAAAATAAAAATAGTTATTTTGTGTGCTTAGATTCTATTTTAGACTATAGCATCATAATACACATCACAGGTACTTCCAACAGTTTCAACATTTAAGAACAAACAAATTATACATCAGTTTTTATAAACTACTTTCTTTGAACAAAATAGTATTTAGAGGTATACAATGATGATAAATACAATAAATTAAACAATTTACAATTAAAATTATTTACCAAATTAAAAATTTTAATTTAATTATTGGTTTAAATTATTAATCTTTTAATATTAAAGATAATGGTGAAAAGTTAATAAATAAAAAAAAAAGATTGATGACTATATATTCATTTTTTTTTTTTTTTTGACAATATATTAAAAAATATTTAACATTCATAAAAACTATATTACCAGAAGCCAAATTGATTTCAAATACACTTTGTTTTAAAATAATGGTAACAAATTAAAATTAATTATACCTCACCATCTGCTAATAATCACTAWAATAGAAAAATTATTAATTTCTAATAGTTAAAATTGTCACTAATTAATAACATTTAAAATTTATTTCAATMATCAAAGTTTTTTTTTATTTACATTATAAAGCCAAGCTTAAAATTGTAATATTAAAATAAAAAATTTCAATTCCGGTTGAATAAAATTATGCCATAGCACTAGCTGGTAACGAACTGTGTTTAGGTTTCATTCGATTCACAAATACACGTATACAACCATTAAAGTCTGCGCTTACAAAAACATATCCATCTTGGCTGCTGTTTTCATCTGTTTTCATTTGTCTAAAAACCACTTCTGGATTAGGGGCAAAAATTGCGCATGTCACAACAGCATTATGAGCTTTGATTCCTTCCCAGTAATCGTTTCGATCTCGTCTTACTGATGTGAATTTTGAATAGTCGTGATGTGTTTTCCAAACATATATGCATTGATTTTCTGACCCACATACAATGTATTTGCCATCGTGACTGAAACTAGCTTTAATTTGACTACTTATATTAACATAGCCCTTATACTTGCAAGACAGATTTAAGTCTCTGAGATCATATAATCTAATGCGGCTATCATTTGAAGTTACCAACACTTTATCTTCACCAGGCATTGGTTCAATGCCACTAATTTTGCGTCCTGTGGAATTTCGACCTCTGGTAGAACGCACATGTATTTGGGTATGATAACGTAATTGATCTGTAGTGTAAAATATACACCGTCCATCATATGAACCTACAACAGCAAATTTACCATTCTGACAAAAATTAGCAGCAGTTATGAGTTTAGTCTGTCCTTCAACTTCATTCCAAACTGCTACTTTCTTATCAGGAATATTCCAGAGACGAAGTTTTCCATCTAGTGATCCACTCAAAAAATACCGATCATCACGTGGATGGAAACATATAGCTGTCACAAAGTCAATATGCTGAAAACAACATAAACATTCTCTTCTGCTTATATGCCATAACCTAACAGTCTTATCCATTGATGATGACAGGACGAAGTAATTTTTTGACCAAGCTATATCCAGCAAATCAGAACGATGTCCAGTGTAAGTACAAAATGGACGTGACATAAATGGTCCACGATCATCTGGATCAGCTGCAAATGATTGATCATCAACTGARAGTTGAGAAACTAAAGATTCTGTTGACGGTGTAGGTGAAACTTTATCGGCATCATATTTTTTTCGCATCTCATGAAAATCTTTATAAGCATCTCTCAAAACCCAAACTCGAAGTACACGGTCTTGTCCAGCAGTAGCCAATAGTCTACCACACATAGAAAATTTCATACACCATACAGGACCAGTATGTTCATGGCAGAATTCCTAAAAAAAAAAGAAAAATGTAAGCTATATAATCTTGTGTTTAAAATTGTTGGTTGTAATTGACTAACTTGAACATGCTGAACAGAATCAAATTCATAAGGTCCTTTATGGCTATTTGATGCTCTCAATTTGAATATTTCATTAACTTGAGGAGCATTAGGAACGTCAGTTGCGGGTTGTGGCCTTTCTACTAAATCTACAATATCCATAACATCTTCTTTGTGCCTTACATGTGATACTTCATGTGCGATAGTTCTAGCTTTATTTACAGTTTTTTTGACAGTAGTACCTAAAAATCGTTTGATTCTTGCTGTGCGACGACGTATGGCAGATTCATCAACTGGGTCATCTCGTCCAGTAGCTACTGTATCATTAGATTTACTGCCAATGCTTTCTTCATCAGATTCTTTAAGTTTCTTAACAGAATTTGTTCTAAATGAATGGGAATCTAAATTTGGAGTGCTTACATATTCTGATGTTAAGCGCATTATATGTAGAGATAATGGGTTAATGCACTGTGGTAACTTATCCTCAGCTATACTTAGTGGAACTCTTTCTCCAGTATCCAAATTTAACACAGTTATTTGTTCCAATATTTCCTATTTTTCAAATTAATTTTTAATTTATTACAAAGAATCATATTTATTAATAAAATATACTCACTATATCAGTTAATTTTTTCCCTGAATCTGTATGAGTTTTTAAAAACATATTTAGTTGCTGATCTCTTAACTCCTGTTCATCACCAGCTGATCTACGACGTTCCCGTGAAGCAACACGATTACAAGATCGATTAGAAGCTATACTACTTGAACCAGCCATTGGATAGGTATTACTATGCGAAGCAATTGTTTTAGATTTTTCTTTTACTTCTTCAGTTGTTTCTTTAATCATATTAAGGACTGGTTTTTCTCTTTCCTGGAAATTAAAAATGTTTAATTAACATTAATACTAAAAAATATTCTTGCAAGTAGAGTGAAGTCATCATATTCTAAAAAAGATGATTTTTAAAACTATTTTAGTACAGATATTCTAAAGTTAGACAAGTTAGACTTTAAAATATAAAAAGGTAATTTACAGAATGTGAAAACTGATAAATAAAGTAAAATACTAAAATAAAATTTTACTTACATGATGATTTACAATATATTGACCTTTGGTAGCAGAATGAAGATCTAACGAATGTTCTAATTCTCTTGTCAGTGATTCTATAGTACTCACTGGACTTGTTAAACAATTGACACTAGTTTCATCTTTTTCAACATCCAATTTCTATTCAAAAATATAAAAATATATAAATATAATCTTTAAATTAATCCTGTGACTTAATAATATATGTACATTTGAATTATCTTCTATTTTAGCACCATCGTTTTCAATTGAAATATTTATTTGTTTGCGTCTTCGTCGTCTTGGAGGTGCAATAGGTCTATCAGTATCTATACTAACAGTACCATTATTTGAAAATTTTGTGCTTGCAATTACATCAGGTTCGTGGAAAGCTGGGAAAGGTTCAAGAGGTACAATAGGTTTATCTTCAACAGAAACAGGTGTGTCCGGTTCAGATAATTTATTGTTTTCTGTTGGCCGTAAAGCAGATTCTTTTCCTAAAAGTTACTTTATTTTAAAATCACTTTAAAAAATTTAAATAAAAAAATATATTTATACTACAATTTAGTATACAAACCTATAAAATGATCTGTAGGAACACTCCCCAATAATCGACCAACTTTGCCCAAGGATAATATACTTTGCACAGATGCTCCATCAGGCTCAATAACTCTAAAAGGATGACTAGGTCTGTGTGAAGGCGCTAAGAATACTCCATCAGCTGATGAGGCTTGGCTTTCAGTTGGAGATACAGCTTGCATTTCGTCTTCATCGATTTGCATGTGCTGCCGAATTTCATTGAATTTACGGCGACCATTGTGCTCTGAAACCTTGTATAATTTTTTTATAAATAATTATTGAAAAATAATATTATTTATTCATTATACCGATTTGGGAGCACTTGATATTTTGAATGTCATATTTTTTTTTTTTTCTTCCAAAAGTTCTTTTTCGGTTTTGGCAGTTTGTTTGGATTGTTCACTACAAAACAGACGATTATTCAATAAAATGTATAAATAACAATGGTAAAAAAATTATTACTTTTGATCTCGAACAGCAAAATCTTCAGCATCAAAAAACTCATCAGTATCACTACTAGTATTTGACATTTTTAAAAAATAAACATTGTAATCTAGAATTTATTATTTGACATAATTATTGTTTAATATGTGAAATGGGTTTGAAGTTTTTTAAGTTCTAATTAATATGAATTATTCATTATAAAATTATTATTTAAATTTGAGATAAGAATGTTTTTATAATGATTATAAGACATAGATTCACTATCGCATTATCCAAATTCCACTTAACCACTTTACAAATTATCTTATCAATAATAAAAAAAAATATATAAGATAATTCAGTGTGTTTGTCAATACAATATATTTTCTACTTTTCAATGCTGAGTAAACTAAAAATACAAAATTCCAAGAAAAAAAAAAATGATTATTAAAAAATATAAAATTTTAATTTTAGAATGTGAAATAAAAGTCTAAAATAGGCATATCAATTTATTAAAAATGGTAAATTAATGTTATACTTAATTATTACAAATTTTTAAGAGTAATAGTAACGAATAAAATTTAACGATTTCTTCAAAAGTTAATTATTTTAAATTTACATTGTTATTGACATTATTGAAATTTGAAAATTAAAAAATATTAAAATTAACTATATATAATAATTGTTATGATTAAAAATGTTTTTATCTTGTATAGTATCTACAACTCATCACGCTATAACTATGTACCTACATATTAGGATACCTATATAGTAAAAAATATGAAATTTACTTATAGAATTATGTTATGTTATTTTTTTATCAATTATAAAAAAAAAAACAATACCTTCTTATGGTGTCCCAACCTCCCAACATTTTCTTGTGCTCTGGATTCACCAGAAGTCGGAGCAATTGAATTGGCTCCGCAATACAGGTAGTCAATATTTTACCCTTACTATAAGTACCTTTGAATTGGCTCCCTACCGTTTTTTTTTCAAAAATTTATTGATTGCCAATATGTTAATAATTTAAAGTAC